ATTTGTAATCTATCCTCAAAGTCATGGAAGGATGCGGTGATGATAAAATTTCATTCTCAAAGGGGCCCTCTGGTTTAGAAGGGGCAACTGTATATATAAGCTCAGGGTTTTTAAAAATGGCATAACTAAAAATCACAAAATCATAGATAACATAAGAAGGAAATTTAAAATTGTCAAGATCATCACTCCAAAACTGCTTTACGTCATGCCTGCTAGATAAGAGTTTATCCTGTTTCTGAATGTAGGTTTCAAGGCACAGAATTTGGTCTGTGTTTACAGTTAGGGCATTATCAGCTACTGAACTGGTGATGGGTATTTCTCCAAGTGTCTCCAGAAACTCCATCTTTTCAGCTATGAATAATCCAAGGTTGAGAGAAGCCTTTTCCAGAGAGCGCCAAACGCTGGGGAGATAGTGCAGGGACTCAGGCAGTGGTGCCCCAGGCAGGAAGCACCTAGGTGCTGCTGAAAGCCAGGAAGGCTTCCTAGTTCCCCGCAGCATCTGCTACAGGGAACAAAGGTGACCTCCCTCTGCCTGAAGCCCATCTCTCAGAGGACAGCCAGTCAGTGACGGTCTTTTTCCCCAAATCTCAAAAGATTAGGCTGTTCATTCCTTCTGATACGAGCATGTCCACATTTCAAGCCCTATTCCAGTATATCTTGTGTTTCTGAGGACGCACAGCATATCTCCTTCTGCAGATGAATTTCCTATTAAATTACTTGGATAGTGAGAGTAATTAAAAATTTCAGATTCAGGAAACTTCTTGTTTCCCATCTTAAATCTTTCCTTACCTCAATCATTTTACACTGAGTTCCTTGTGCCCTTAACTAGAAAAAAAATGCAGAACAACTAGAGAGGCTTTGTCCTGTAGGGAGAAAAAAAAAAAAAAGCTTGCTCATGGGAGGCAGGATGACTATTTCAGCATTTTGACTTTATCATTAATTAACCATGACCTTAAGAGAATCACTTTGGACCTCACCTGAAGAAATGAGAGATTTGGGCTAGTCAGTCTCTAAAATCCCTTACAGTGGTGATATTCTAAGTTTTATCCTTCTCTGGTTAAATACACTTTTAACTCCTCCTGTAACCATATGTATTCAGTTAAAAAAATTCCAGTCCCTTGTCCCTTTCCAGATGCACCTCGCTTTCCAAACTGTTAATCTTATGTGCTGCTCCAACTTGAATTATTTCCACACTTTTTATCTTCCTCTTCATTTGGAAGGCTAAGAACTCTGTATAGTACCTTCAGAAACACACAGGATTACCTCATACTCTTTCTTGTCCTATTGTTTTTCTTCTGGTCGGTGAACTTTTTCATCATATAATAATTGTGTACTTCAAATGTGTCCGTGTCTCTCAAACTTTCACTGATTGAGACAAAGGTGAGCAGAGGTGAGCATGCCTGAATTTATACCTTCCTACCCATTACACCACAGCTCATTTTATAGGATGTAGTCATAATTTGAGTATGATTTATAGAAACACCTTATTGAAATTATAAAACAGTATAGAGCCTAGGTACAGAATTTGAATGAATAAATGTTTCTTTGTGCTATTATCAACACTATAGCATTGGAAGTAAATATTCTGCTAATATTGAACCCAATTGGCTTTGTTTTCACCTGGGTAAAAATTGAGAAAGCCAGAAAATTATGTAGTGTTATCCATATAAATCTACATTTGCACTGGGTATACCAAATAGGTCTCTTAAAGGTCTGTTTTGATCGCAGAATTTCAAAAACGTATATTACTCAGTGGTGAGACATGAAATGAGCAATCAAAGTCAGCTCATCTTAAGTCTTATGAGGCCCAGTGTCACCATATATAAAGCTACCTGATACAGTATAACCCAGTGTGGTCAAGTTGTATTGCCCCCAAAAGTATTCCAGTGAATTGTGGAAAAGCTAGAGCCAAATATGAGCCAATATTTTTCACAATTTCTTTTTTTTTTTTTTAAGATTTATTTATTTATTTTGAGAGAGTGAGAATGAAAGAGAGAGAGAGAGAGCACATGAGAGGGGAGAGGATTAGAGGGAGAAGCAGGCTCCTCGCCGAGCAGGGAGCCCGATGCGGGACTCGATCCGGGGACTCCAGGATCATGACCCAAGCCGAAGGCAGTC